CAATATTTTCTTGATTTAACAGGATTAAATCTATGGAGTAACTGACCAATTTGTATTGTCTATTTTTATTTTTTATTTTTTTTACTTTCTATACAGGTAGTCCTTGACTTGCAACAGTTCGTTTAGTGACCAAAAGTTACCAGAAAAAGGGACTTAGGACCATTTTTCACACCACTTTTTAATGACCATTGCAGCATCCCTATGGTCATGCGATTTGGATGCTGGACAACTGGTTCGTTGTTATGACGATTGCAGTGTCTCGGGGTCTCCTGATCTCCTTGCAAGTGAGATCATTTGTTAAGTGAGTTTTGTTCCTTTGGATGGCCTTTCTTGCCACCATCGTTAAGTGAATCTGTGCATTTGCTAAGCTAGTAACACGGTTGTAAAGCGGATCTGGGTTCCCCGTTGACTTTGCTGGTCAGAAAGTCACAAAAAGGGGGTCATGTGACCTTGGGACCCCACAACCATCATAAATGTGAACCAGTTGCCGTGCATCTGAAGTTTGACCCCGTGAGCATGGGATGCTGCAAAGCTCATAACTGTGAAAAATGGTCATAAGCCACATTTTTTTCAATGCTGTTGTAAATCTGAATGGTGACAAAGTGAACTGTTGTTAAGTCGAGGGCTACCTTATTAGTTTTACCTTTATTCTTGGAGTACAACATGTGTACAATGAGATTGGCTGAGCCTCCCTCCGTGCCTGTAAACTACTAGAGGTTGGTTGCCATTCCCTGTGAAAAAGGTAACCAAAGAAACCTAGTGTCAACTCATAAAACATTTTGTATACATGTTTTATAGTTGACAACAGAAAGAAGTGGGGTATTTCAAAGAGCAGGTAGCAGTGTGGAGTTGAAAGTACATGCCATTCGTATTTTCTTCAAAGACTGATTAGATGGCTGAAGCTTCTGCTGCACAAAAATCTAATTGGAGAGCATGATTGATGACTCTTGGCTATGGATGTTTTTTTTTTGTTGGATGATACAGCCAGAAGGGTGGGGGGAAAAGCAGGATCAAGGGTGACAGTGAATTACATATCTCAGAGTTGGCTACAGACGTAGAATGTTAACTTCAAATAAATCTTCTTTAGTTTTGGGAGTATGGCTCAAGGCTTATGATTTAAGTGGAGTAACTGCCAGAATCCTGACACCTAGGAAAGACTTATGGTGTTGTATATATGCAGGGCAATATGCTTTATTAACTAGACAATAGTGGTTAAGGTCAATAAACCATATTGTCGCAAAGCTTGCATGGTTTGTGAATCAAATCTCAGTGTAGGAGGCGGAAGATCAAACTGCAGTTCTATTTTCCCCTAGGATTATCAGGTAGTTGAGTTGTGGTGGCGCAGTGGTTAGAATGCAGTATTGCAGACTAACTCGGCGTTCCACTGCCAGGAGTTCAATCCTGACCTGCTCAAGGTTGACTCAGCCTTCCATCCTTCTGAGATCAGTAAAATGAGGGACCCAAATTGTTGGGGACTGATGCTGATTCTGTAAACCCACTTAGAAAGTGCTGGAAAGCACTATAAAGCCACATTGCAACCCTAGTTTTTGACATCTGGTTCTGGCAATGACTTGAATATTTTGAATAGGGTTCAGTGCCCACAATCCAGAGGACAATCCAATTCTTTAAAGGCTTGAGCTTGAGTGCAAATTCAACAAATCCACAGGCAATTGTGAAAGGGTCAATTAGACTTCCATCCCAAGGGCTAAGACATTGCAAAAAGCATCATCTCAAATACCAGGCATTTTTAAAAAGGAGGAGGAAAAGGAAGGGAGGAGGAGGAGGAGGAGAGGAGGAGGAGGAGGAGGAGGAGGAGGAGGAGGAGAAAAAGAAGAAGAGGAGGAAGAGGAGAATGAGAAGGAAAAGAATAGGAGGAGGAGGAGAGGAGGAGGAGGAGAAAAAAACAGTCCAGCATTATACTTTTATAGTCCAGAGTTCTGAAATAAATAATTTCAGAGGAAGAAAAAGTTCAGGCTCTGAACTTTACAAACATCAAGATGAGATGAATATTTCATTGGAATGGTGAGCCAGAGCCTGAACCTTGGGAAGGAACATGAATACAGATCTGCTAACAAGCATTGCAATGGTTGGACAAGGAGAGAGGGAATATGTCAGTGCAGGAAAGGAAATTTGCAGGAACAGCTGACTGGAGGAAAGTAATCCAAAACCCCAGAAGAATTGCTAGCTTTTTTCCTTTTTGCCTGACAGCATTTTGTGCAGGTTAACTCAAAACCAATGGGTAGCTACAACACTAGTCTGCAACCTGGTTTGGAAACCTGGAGTAGTGTGTGCTGTTATGCATCGTCCTTTGTGTTATGAACATGGATAGAAAACCTAATGCTGCTGCCCTAATTTAGTCAGAGAAAACATTGAGGATTACAACAAAATCCTTGCACCCCACAAGCAAAATAGGTCAGGATAGATTAAAAATTTTGAAAGGAACACCAAACCTAACAACTATTAACAATTAACTGTTGAACTGGAAGGAAGTGTTTAGGCTCCTGTTCAGTTACAAAATTATGCAAAGCTTTTTTTTTTAAATCCCTTCCTAATGGCCTAAAATATTTCCCAACAAAAGGATTTATTAGAATTTTCATTTCGCTCCCTGCCTGTTTTACAGGGCTCTTCATTTTCCCCTAGAAAATAACAATTTCTTCAACAATTATATTAGTGGTACAATGCAATGGTAATAATAAGAAGTATTTCGTTTGTCCGAGTGTTCGTGCCTGCGTGAACACATGAATCTTTGAACGTTTCAATTTACCAACCAGAGCCTCCATTTTCTAGGGCCTCTTCTGTTGCTTAAGAAATTCAATATTGTAAAATACATTAAGTCTACTGAATTATTGCACAAAACATAAAGAAATCCAATAAAAAACATTTGATTTTTACAGAGAACGCGCCTACCATTATTTAATCACTAGATTCATTTTGTGCTTACTAAGAACATGTCCTAAACCTGTTAGGCTGTTATAAACTACAATAGCTGGCTTTAAAGCCAAACTACAAGAACCAGATGGCTGATCACATTGTGTGAACCCAACTGTGTCCAACAGTCTGTCTACATGGCCCATCACTGGCCACAATCACTCAGCAATGATCCACCAGGGTCTTGGATAGAATGACATCACCCTTTTCTCCTTTAGTATAGTTACACTGACTGAAGAAGCCTGGAATCAAACTCAAGATTTATACAACATACGCTAAACATATAGTCTTTCTCTAAAACACTGTACTACCCTTAAGGCAAAATAATTTGTCACGCTTTTTCCCAGTCCTCCAAAATGTGGGTCATAGTGGATTACCAATAAGGGGGTCAACAAGGAAAAACACAACGTGCAATTTCAACAAATAGCAAGCGTGGATACCCATTTCGAGATCTTATTCCTCTTTCAGTTGTGTTTTGGGATGTGCTAACCCTATGGTCCTGAGGATAGAAGGGAGGAAGGGGTTTCTGCCCACCTGTTAACAGGTGCCAAATAGGAAAAGTTGTCATCATCATCATCATCATTGTATGGAAATTGACATCACCTTTTACTAGGTTCTAGTTAGGGCACCAAGGGGTAGAAGGAAGAAAAATGTAAAACTCCCCAATTTTTTACCCTCTGTGTTTTTTACCCTTTATCACTAAGATTTGGTTTTGTTTCGTTTTCCTATCTACATGACCACCCATCTAATTAAAATTAAAGCTTCATGGCCTAACTTGGGCGTAGTTCCTTTACACACAGCTAACATCAACTATATGATGTTAACTCAGTAGTAATGAGTTTCGGCATATTCTATATCGTTTATTACTGATAGTCAGAAATAGTCAGATAATTTAGTCAGATATTTGAGGAAGGCAGCCGTATTCTGATCGAAGCATTTCTCCATCTTTCTAAAGAACCTTTCTTTATAATTCTGGGGAATTTTTTTTTTTAAAAAATAGCACTTTTGCAACTTCATCATCATATTCTGACATCTCTAAAATTCCTCTGAGAAACCCCTAAGCATTAAAAGTGTCATAAAGCTGGTATTACATCTGTAGCCCAGTTACGCAAATCCTTGTGGTATTTCATTCTGCGCTGTACATTAAGCTTATTAATTCTTGCTGTATCAACAAATTATGGATTTCATTGCTTAATAGTGCTGGGTGGAAACATGACATCAGCTTTCCGAAGGCTCAGATTGTTGCCGTGGGCCTCTCTGAACCTAAGGCAAGGCGGGTGGGTCCAACCTGGGCAATTTTAAGGGGGACTTTAGGAGTTGAAGTCCACAAGTCTTAAAGTTGCCAAGGCTGGACACCCCTGGCCTAAGGGCCTCTTTTCCAAAGTACAAGCAGTCCATAGCTTCTCTGGAAACAGACTTTGAGCACCAAGTTTCGCGAGTGGAACAACCGTGAAATATCATTCCCAGAATGGAGAAAAGTCTTAAGACCCCTGGCTCAACTGGATTTGAACTCAGACATCTCAAAAGACAGCAAACCTTTCCAGCTTTCACCTCCCTTTCAGCTTCCTCTTCCTCCGAAGAGCAGCCAGGAGAGGACAACCCAGCCAGCACCGCTTCTCCGCCTTCCGGAAAAGCTCAAGGCTTTTGAGAACCAACCATCCCAGGCAGACATCTGACCAGGATGGGGTTTAACTGCCTTTAGCCAAACATCAGCCCTGCGTGGAGGAGACAATCTACTCCATACCTCAACCACACCTCCAAGAAGGTAAAGCAAAAATATGCCTTAGTCCCCAACCTCTTGCAAGAGGAGAAGAGAGCAATAGGAGACCCATCATCCCCGACTCCGCCAAGAGTCACCCGATGGCAACTATTTTTTGTTTTGTTTTTTGCTTTCTTCCCTCTGCTCCCAAAAAGGATCTTAGACATAACACCCCCATCCCCATCACCTACAACCCTCCGGTCTCCCCCATCTCGCCCCAGGACTACGACACCCCCCTCCTCTCCCCGACGCGCCCCCTCCCCAGCCCTCCCCCTCCCCCACCTGCCCCCCCAGGGCAAGCCCGGGCTCCTACCTGAGGGTGGCGCTTTCTCCTTGCCTGACCGTCACGTTGTCCATGGCCTTGGGGAAGGTGGCATCTCCGCTGCGCACCGGCACTCCTGCGGGCACAAGGAAGAGCAGCCTGAGACACACGACCACCAGGCACCGCCAGGGCAGAACCAAGCACCCCCCGACCCCCATCCTGGGATGCGGGGGGAAAGGAAGTTAGCCGTTCGCCAAATCCAGCCCCGACGGGGCCGAAAGCGCAGACCCAAAGGGGACCAAGCAGCGCCCCCCCAAAAAACAGGGGGGGCGGGGGCAGGAAAGAAAACAAACAAACAAACAAAAAAGACGGGGTGACGACGGAGATCTTCCGGGGGGAGGGGGTGTCGGCGGAGCCCCTCGAAATCCAGAGACGGCGTTGCTTGGTGGAGAACCGAGCCGAGCCGGCAAGAGAAGCAGCAGCAGTAGCGGCGGCAGCAGCAGCAGCCGGGGGAAGAAGCGGCGAAGGTGGCCCGGCCGCTCGGCTGCTTCACCAGCCCCGCTTAGCAAGGCGCAGTTCGGGCATCCCTGGCTTGGCGAGCCGAAGCCGGAGCCGGAGCGCTCCGCAAGCTCCGCTGGCCTCCAAAGAGTTCCCCAAAGTCCCGTCTCCAGGCGGAGAGGCGACGGTCCCGACGAGCCCAAATTGCAAAGCCGAAGCCCCCGCAAGGGTAGGCGGGCAACTTCTCTCCGCCGCCGACCCGAGCCCAGCTGCTTCCCCCGGCTGGGGTGATGGAAGCGAGCCGCGGAAGTTCCCGGGCTTAGCAGAGGCGGCTGGCCGGCTGGTGGTCTCCCTCTCTTCCTCTTCCTCTTCCTCCTCCTCCTCTTCCCTCCGGTTCAGCCGGCCGGCTCGGCGCTCTCCCCGGGCTGGCCGGCTCGGTTCTTTCCCCAGTGCCGGAATGGCCCGCTGGCCGCCCGGCTAACGCAGACACGCCCGCGCCGACTTCGACTTCCCGGGGTTGTCATGGCAGCCAGTCCATCACTGACCGGCACTTCGGGCTACCCGTCGCAGGCGGCGCGGAGCAAGCCAGCCTCCTTTCGCCCGTTTCAGCTCCAGCCCGTGGCGCCGGGAGGGAGCACGAGGAGCTTGCGGGGGGCAGGGGGGGGGAGATGCGCGCGGATTAACCCACAAGGCGCCGGTTCACCTTTCCCATCCTCTCCCCATCCCGGTCCACCTCTCTTCCCCCTCTGCGAATGCTTTGTCTCCCCCCCCCAACACCCCTGTGGGGGGGGCTGCAACTGGCTGGGGGGGGGGTTCGCTCTGCTTGGGGTTGCTTCCCCCCTTCAACAACCCTGTAGGGTGGGCAAAACTGAAATGGAAGCACTAGCTCCAAAATCCGGGGCTGCTTGCCTTATTCATTCATTTCTTTCTTTCTTTCTTTCTTTCTTGAGTTTATTTAGCTTAGTTTATCGAGCGTGTATGAGAAAATAAATATAAGTATGAACATAACAAACAAAACATATAAATATAAACTGGTATAACTATATACATAATAAATGAGTACACATAAATGGAAACTTGCTGGATCCACAGGGCTCATTATGACTTGCAGCAGGATTCAGTTATATTTCCACTCTTTATACGCATTATATAAATATACACACACACATATATATTTCATTATTTCCCCCTGGTGGGCTCAAACACACCCAGCTGGCTATATTATGCTTAAGGAGGGACTAGAACTCCCAGTCTCCTGGGGATTGGCCCAAAGTCAGCCAACCAGCTCTCATGATTGAGCCAAGATTAGAAATCTCAGTCTCCTGGGATTGGCCCAAAAATCCCTCAGTTATCTTTCATGCTTACAATGGAACTAGAACTCACAAGACTCCCGGTGTCTAGTCTGGTGCCTTAATCTGGAATATGGATTTTTTATTCTTTTTTCATACAGTGTTAGCTTATAGAATAGGGTAAGGATTAATAGACTCTGGAAATGTCCGGAGCACTCTAATAATGAAACATGTCCTGCACTCTGCAGAATAATATTGCCCAATTGTATAAGACAACCTTTGTGGTGAGATCATACTGAACACACTGAACACAGGAGACCAGGCTGGAAAAAGTGGCATTGATTTTTACAAAAGCATGAAAGGGAATAGATGTTTTGAACGCTTGTGGAAGTGCATTCATAAATGTATCAATATGTTAATTTACTCATTAACATATTAGTACTAAACCTACAAGCGGCACAGCAGATTAATGCTATACCAGTCCTAATTACATTATGCCTTAGTATATTGTATAAATCCAGTTAATGTTTAATTCTTTTCTTTTAAAGCCTCACTTTAATTGAGTTATCCTGGGGTCTAGGAATGGGGGCTTGTAAGTAAGGAACCTCTCTCTCTGCCTTTACAATCCGTGTATTCATATAACAGACTCAACACATCTTCACCAATTGAAATAGCATTTTGTGCACGTTGTTATTCAGTCACTAAGCCGTGCCAAAGCCTCAATGACCCCATGTTCCCCCAACCTCCCGTTCTTCACTAACTCCAAAAGTTTGTCCAAATTCATGTTCATTGCATAGATGACACCATCTAGCCATCTCACCCTCTGCCATCCCTTTCTCCTTTCATCTCTCCTAACACCAGAGTTTTTTTCCCAAGGAGTCCTCTCTTCTCATTTGATGGCTAAACTATTTGAGCTTCAGCTTCAGTAACCGTCCTTCCAAAGGACAGTCCTTCCTGATTTCCTTTAGGGTTGACTAATGGGATCTCCTTCTCTCTCTCTCCCCCTTCCCCTCCTTCTCCTTCTTCTCCTTCTTCCATATCCATCATCGGATGTTGGTGATCAGGTTGGCGATCCTATTTTTTTATCCACAGCCACATGAAAAAGTGCTGCTGAGTTTTATCCAAACCAGTCCCTTAGATTATGAAGTCACAATGTTCTTCTTCTGCCTGGACCTTCACTTGGATTAAGTGAAGTATGCCATATTTTTCCGGGTCCGAAATATTCTAACTTTCCCATTTTTTATGCTTTTAATGATTTCCCCTGGATCTCCTTGGAACTCTCAAAAGACTTAGTTTTAAGGAAAGCCTGGGTTACGTCAACTGTGGATAAGCCTAGGGTTGAACCTGGTCAATGTCGGCCTAAATCCTTTGAAAAAGTGGTGATTGGGGAGAAACGATTCTTGCTCCTTTCTCGGTGTCTTTAGGTCCTGATTTCCAGCCATTTACAGGTGTTTTTTTCTTTTTTAAAGAAAGCTGGGTGGGTTGAGGGGTTAGAAAATGTGGGCTAATTTAATTCACACAGTACACCTGCTAGCAATTAAACACCCCCCACCTTATTATAAATTGCTACCAACAGGAGCTGTTGGGTTCTAAAATGGTGACCTAGATGCAGAAGAGTTTGTTACCCTATTGCAGATCTCTAGAGTCATCCGGTACTTTGTAAAACATTATTTAATTTGCTAACTGTGCCACTTCATCTCAAGCATTCCGATATCTGGCAGGCAGAGAAGACACTTCATAAAACAATGAAGTCTTATGATGATTGCTTGTGCTGGGAGGGGTAAAAAGGGGGAAGGATGCCTTTTTAAGCTTTATCATTTCTTCATTTCCTCTCTCTTTTTTAAAAAATATTTCCAAATGGGTCGCTTCAGCAGTTGTGAAAAGCTGCAGATGAACAGCCCAGAAAAATAAAGGATTATGATGTTTTGGTAGGGTTTTTTTTCACCATTTCTCTTGATCGAGAGGAAAGGGGTGTGTGGGATGAAAACCATACAGTCCAGTGATTTTAGGCTCCAACTGCAATTTTCCTAGGAGAAAATATGCTAGTATGTCACATCCTTGAACATTTCAGAGTGGGGAAAAATATGTACCTTTAATTGAATCTCCATATTTTATTCATGCAGGATCACTCTATGGGATTGCACTTCTGGAATCGACTATAACAGATTGGTTCACGCTCACAGCACCAAACCATAGTTTACAAATCATAGCAGCTGACTTCATGCACAACCACAAATAAACCACACTGGACTTGAATGTGAGCTCTTAATTCAATTCTATTTCATTTAAAAGTCAAAGATAAAATGAATGCAGTTGGGTTTTGGCTTAGATGTGGAAATAGAACTCTTGAAGTTTACAGAAATCACCATTTATGGTGTGCTGTGCTGTGCTGTGCTGTGCAAACCCAGCCTGCCGAGGTTTATTCAGTTAATGATGGTTAAGTAAACTATGGTTTACTGTGTAAACTTGGATACCCCTGACAGTTCTGCGTGACACTATATTCAGGAGTTGTTTGTGTACACTTGCAACTCCTTTGGATTCGGCTGAAGCCATTCACTCCCTGGCCAAAAGGAGATAATGTCAGCCCATCAGTATTATCAACTCCAGAAATTGACAAGACAGCTTAAATGTCCACTTGTTCTTTTGACTCCTCTGAATGTTGATGTAATGCTTTCAATGATAAATCAGCTGGAAGGAATTGACATAAAAAAAAAACAATGTAAAAGAAATAACAAGTTAGAAAGACCTCAGACGTGTGCAGATATTTCTACTTCATCTGTGGTTGAGCCTGGATCTTATGTGCAAGAGAGAGAAGGACAGTGCCCTCTCTGTTGGCAAAGATGACTGCAGCTTGTTACATTTTGTGGGGAAGATTAAGGATGTGCCTCACCAGGTGGCAGCACCTGGGAAATTTCTCTTTGCTTCAAAGTTATAAACCAGGGATCCCCAAATGTGGCAACTTTAAGAGCTGTGGACTTCAACTCCCAGAATTCTCCAGCCAGCTGGAGAATTCTGGGAGTTAAAGTCCACAAGACTTAACGTTGCCAAGTTTGGAGACCTAGATGTCTCCACAAAAACTCCATTAATTGAGTTTGACTTACGCTCTTAAAAAGATAAGGATATTTAACTTCGTTGAGATTTTAAATGCTAACCAATAAAATAAGAAACCTATTTGATTTAAATCCTCAAATCAATTCTATTCTCCCCAAATCTGCTTCAGAGATGATGGAGATACCATCAGTGGTATCATCAGTGAAGAAAAACTGAAAGCTCAGCTAGTTTTCCCTCATGAAACGGAAAGAGTGTGGCCCACTTCTTCTGGATCTTAATCTGATCCAGTTCTGCAGGCAGTGGAAGGATGGGGTCATTCTTCTGAGGTTCCTGTTCTAAGACATGTGGATTTGAATGACTCTGGAATAGTGTTGGTTTCC